TACACATCAGCATTCTCAACAAGTACAAAGACTGAAATACCCCTTCACTAACACCACTAACAGTTACTTTTATATTTGTAAGGGGATATCTTCTAATTTCTTATTTCTGAAGTCTCTATTCATCAACAGAGTCATACAGTCTAGCCAGAGTTAGTCAGGGTAACTCCCTGAGGACTGAACTGCTGCCCTTAGTCCAAGGACCGAAACTGTAGGTAATGCAAGAAATAAGGAATGTGGAAGTAGAGGTGAGTGTCAAACAATTATCTGTTGGATGAGGACACAAATCAGATCCCATGGGAATATGGGTCACTGGTGAAACTGGCTTACTTGCTAGGTGCTTCCCTTGACCACCTCATTGAATTGGGTGCCTAGGAGTGCTAATATGCTGATTCTTTGGCTAGGGCTGGGGTGGAAGGGAATGTTTAGAATGGGGTTGCCCAAGGCCAGGCTGTAATGGGTATTTGCTTTAAAACAATTAGACTGATGAAAATTAGCTATTGAGATTTGGAGTGCAGACAAATGGCCTATGGCAAAGGGTCATTGCAAGTAAATATATTACATAGCTCGAAGATAGTTGAGGAGAACTGCCAACAGGCAGGCAGATAGCTTAGCCAAGCAAGGGGTACATAGAACACATACGTTTTGGGTCAAATGTAATTTTGAATTGGGACAGCTTCTAAAACTGGTTTTCTTTCACAACTTCTTGTTATATCCTGATTTCTTCTAATTAATGAAATCTTTTTTCTGTGTTGACGACAAAAAAATAAATGCATAGCTGGGAATCCCAACCTTAATCTCTTATGGTTTGATTATATGGAGGGTTTACTCTCAAGTCTCAACACTCAGCTGAGTTCAATCAATTCATTCCAATTTTGTAGAGATTACATCAGGTTCAGGGATGATAAATTGACTGGTTAGGAACCTCTTCAAAAGGCATTCAGCACTCTCAGGTATTTTTCATTTAGCCACTGTCCACCAAAACTATGAATTGGTGACAAGGGAGGTAGTATGGAACATCCAGTTGAGAAGAAAAGGAAAGAAGCCCTAGTGGCATTATCTGTACAAAAAAGAGGGGTAGGACCTGTGGAGGTGCACTAGAGCAGCACTACTTTGGACTGTTTGGGAGGAAAGAAATGTAAGAATATTTGAAGAAAAGGAAAGAAGCAAGGAAGCCTTGGTAGAAACAATAACTTTGAGAGTGGCACATTGGGCAAAGAGCATGAAGCTGTTTTCAGACTTCAAGAATGAAGATTTTTTAAGAGCTTGGAGTGTAATTGCTGCATCCTCATCTACAACACAGAGATCTGTTGAGACATGGTCTCCCCCAAAAAATGGCTGGAAGAAACTGAACTTTGATGGGAGTTATTTGGGTAATCCAGGCCCTTCAGGTATAGGGGGGGCATTAGGGATGAAGGTGGGAACATAATTGCTTTATACTCCGGTCCTGTGGAGCAAGGTGATGTGGCAAGGTCAGAGTTTTTGGCTGCCATTTATGGGGTTGAGAAGGCAAAAGAACTGGGTATTAGTAGAGTGATTATTCAAGGAGACTCAAAAACTGTGGTAAAGTGGCTGCATAAGGGGGCTGGGGTGACATGGCATTTGAGGAATACATATGTCAACAGTTTGGCAGATAGCTTAGCCAAGCAAGGGATACATAGAACACATGTTTTGGACTCAAATGCAATCTTGGATTGGGTCAGCTTCTAAAGCTGGTTTTTTCTTTTCATAACTTCTTGTTGTAACCTGATTTTTCTAATTAATGAAATCTTTTTCTGTGTTGCCGATCAAAAAAAAAAACAGTTGAGAAGAAAATGAATTGCTAGGAGGCTGATCAACTCCTTTAGTGCTTTCAATTGCACAATCAGTCAAGAATTAGACCATCCAGTTCAGATAGGATGGTATAGAACCCAGATCCCAATGACATGTTCAAAATCAAATCTAATTACCAATCTGTTCATTAACTACTTCATTGCCCCTTTCTTGCAAGATTTGGAATCATTTCATTAAACTTTTCAAGGGAGAATGAGTGATGCTCACTGATATGAGATCTCTTAGCTTGTCATGACCAGTCAAAGGCTTTCCTGTTCAGTCTTTTTTTTTTTTTTTGTCCAGGATGTTTATGATATATATTTTGTACATCTGTCATATATGACCATACATATAAACTTTACAAATAGGATATCTGCTTCCATTGTATCACAGAACTTTCTGTTATTTAAAAAAAAAAAAAAAAAAAAAGCTTCAAACAATGAAAATTTTTCAAGGGAAACGGTTAAAAGTTAGGGCTGGATTAATAGGATATAAAAGCTAGGGATTAGCTATTTCAAAAGTAGCCAAATAAAACAGAAGAGGAACAAAGTTGCTTTTAGAGCTTAGAACTACAAAAAGAAAGGTACAACATAATTAATTGAAACTAATCATTATCAAACAATTTTCATCAACTTGCACAAAAGCATCAAAGCATGTGATACTTCTAATAAAAACTGCTTATCATGGATGAAACTTTCTCATCTTCAATTGCTGAGATGTCAAACCAACAAGGTACCATAAGTGCACTAAAGTTGCTTAATCTCCTAGTTCTGCATATCGTAAGTAGCACAAAATTTAAGTACCCTTTAAAAATGAGAAAAAATCGACATAGTATGAACAGAAGACTCTAAGAAAGGAAGGGGAAGACCAAAAGAAATGTGTAATTAAGTGATATAAGGACTTAGGGTCCATTTGGTTCACAGTCAGAATCGGAATCAGAATCAGAAACAGCTAGAATGGATTCTCATTCCCAAGGGAGGGGGAGGGAATGGCCGTTCCCTCAAATGGAGGAATGCCATTCCACCAGGAATGGGAATGGGATTCCGATTCTGCCCAACCAAACAGTTGGAATTGGAATGGTACCCCTATTCCCGTGAACCAAACAGACTCTTACAATTTGACAGAAAGCATTTATCTTGATAGAGCAGAATGTCAGAACACGATTCATGTAACCAACCCCAAACAGTTGGCATTAAAGCTATGTTAAGGTATTTACAAATGAGGGAAATGTAACTCGATTAGTCCCTAAGAAGAAAACAAAAGTGCAGATAGTTCTGATGATCAAATCTTAACATGCTAGAGCCTAGACCTTGTAAACAATGCAAAAGCATAGTAACAATCAGAGATTACTCAAGTGGTAAGTATTCTGATTTGTACCTCCATGACAATTCCTCTCAAATTTTCAGAATGAGTAGGAACAACCTTCCCTACCCTCAGTTGGAAATCACCAAGTTGATACTGAAACCCCTATATGGATAAATAAGTAACAAATGTTAATAAGCTATTACTATCACCTGAAAAAAAAAAAAAAAAACATATCTTCTTATCTATTGTTTTCTGTGGCAGCAATTTGGGGAAAAAAAACACAACTTTCAAAATTCTTGAAATGCAGATTATGTGTAGAAACCTGAGCAAAGGTTGATGCATAACAGGGAAAGAAAGCTGCAAATACAAGATTCATGATGACATTCATAAGAACCCATTCCCTGGTCAGTAGGAAACTTATAACTTTGATAAGTCAATAGCATTCAATAAAAAGAATTTGTTCTTTATCAAGCACGGATCTCATAAAGTACTGGAAGGTAAACTTTTGTTTTACCAAACATATGGCTTCCAGGTAATGCAAACAATCAATGATGTAGATAGATCTCTAGTTGTTAACTAAAGTGCATCAAAAATATTATGATACAGGGGATGAAAGCAAATAAAATAAGGAGAAACATTGCAAATTTGGGGGAAACTTTGGTGGTGTTTGGCGCGTCTTTCGGTCTGCAGGAAGTTCAAAAAGACCAAAAAATGACCAAAAGACGCGAAGACGAGTGTGTGGAAAGATCAAAAAGGCCGAAAATCAGGAAGCTTCAAATGAAGCTTTTGGCCTTTGCACGCTGAAAATAGCCTTTCTAATTGTTTTTAACAGCCCGGTAGACCACGACACAAACCAAACAGTCTTGAGCTTTAAAGACAAGACCCCAAAAGCTCAGTGTATGTGCATCTTCTTGTCTACTGGGCTATCTACCTAGAAAGACTTCCAAACAGCCCCATCATTTCTTCATCCAGCCATCATTGGGGCTGAGCCCCCACNCCCTCCACCCACCCAAGATGCACCTTGTTGGAAACTCAAATTTGGGAATAAAATAACTCTCAAATTAAAAAGAGTAAGTACATTTTTTGTAATTTCCTTTTGGTCCAAAACAGTTGGGATTAGTCCAATCTGAGCTCTTATTGTATTGTTAGCATTTAAAACTAGATTTAATATTTATAATTGGACACAATAAGCATATTGTCTAACAAATTGGTGAAGCAAGGAACATGTTTTAGCACGCAGGCACAATCCAGGGGTGATTAATTTTTTCTATAGGTTGCAATGAGGTGATTATCGAAACAACACTTTGATGTTTGCACAATGCGGAAACAACCCATCTGATGTGGCGCATTGGAAACTGAAATATCAGAGCACTTTTCTGAGTCGCCACATCCTAATTGCTGCAAATTTGTTAAATAACAAAAGCAGAACACTCTAGATGCCACATTATCATTATTTTCAGGATTCCACTAGAAACATTGCATTGTTTTGCTGATAGAGGCAAACAGTAACACCAAAACAACGCAGCAATTCCAAACACCATTTACATCTACAACATGCACTCTTACAGCATGTCAGGGGAAAGTGTTCCATGGGGAGAGAGAGAGAGTGAGAGATCAAACCTCAAAATAAAGTGAGACCCGGGATTTATAAGACTGTAATTTCTCCATTATCATCTGAATTGTGGAATCTGCCTCAAGCACAATCCGCTGACTACGAAGAATAAAGTAGTATTTATTGGGTTGCTCCTGAAGCGAAATCCCCAGACAATCACGAGGGTACTCGGCTTGTAAAGTCTGGTCTGATGAGCAATGCTTAAATTAGAACCAACAATTCAAAAGCCCAAAAATGAACTAAAACAACGCAGGCCTTAACGTAATTAGAAAAAGCACTCCTAAATTTGGGTTGTAGTATCTTGTGAGACTCGTTGGGGAGGATGGAAGATAAAAGTAGGACTGAAAATCAAAAGAGAAGTAAAGTTAAACAGAAACAATGGAAATCCTTCACAGAAAAATTAAAATAACTGACCTCTTAGCACGGGTCTGTAGAAAGTGAGGGTAGATTTCCATCTTCCTTCCTTGGCGCCATTAATGCTCTCGACGCATTGTGAGACTTCTGATAGTATTTGACTGTTAACAGTTGTTCCTGCATTCGGCTGCCAATGTAGGAGCCTGAAATTACGATTTAAAAGTAACCACCAGAAAGGGGAAAAGATCAAATTTCCACTCCGATTTTTCTGAAGTTGTACACATAAAGATAAACAAAACGATTGTTCGGAGGAACCGACATATCCACATCCATATAAACAAACCCTAGATTTTAAGACATTTATAAATACGAAAAACAGTCATGAACTCCATAAATCCATAACAAGTGAGGTTTTTCAATCATACCATTTGAGAGGCATGGTCTCCGCGGGAGAGGGTGGCGGTTGGCCAGTTGGAGGGAGAATAGACACACGATCTTGGAGCCTGTTTGTGTAACAAAAAGAATTGCCAATACAAGTAATGCATTTTCTTCTTTCATTTCTTTCGGTTTTGCTGTGGCCGTTTGATGACGTCTGAAGTTGCTGAACTGAACAACTTATTGTTTTCTTTGTGGTGAATAAAATAGTATCCGCATTCTGTGAACCCGCCAATGAAAGACGAACACGTCGTCTGAGCAAAAACAGGCTAACGTTAACGGACTAACGTTAACGGGCTTTTGGTAGTGTGTAGTTGAACCGAACACAAAACGACAAAGAAGCTGATTAAAACCCTTTTCAATTCGAACCCTCCCTCCATTTTCTCCTTTCTCCTCCATCGAACCCTCCTACCTCATAGTCAACGTTATGTGTTATGTGAACCGTGGGTTAACGAAACGCATAAACCCGCCCATAAGAGACGATCACGTGAGCGTATTTAAAAGTTATTAACGTTAATGGACCTTTAAATGTTCATCAAAAAAATCCGATCGAACCAACATAAAAGGACAAAAAATACTTAAAAAAGTTATAAACAATTTAATTACATGAGATTTTTCCGTCTTCCTCCCATTCTCCACTCTCCCCCGCTAAGCCCTAACCTAGAAGCATCCATCGACACGGCGTCCGTGAATGTGAAAGCCGCCGGCGGACAACATTAAGGGTTACAACTTTATTTGCCGCTGGATAGCGCGTACTGTCTCCACCGCCATCGTCTCCGTCAACTACCGTCTTTCACCAGAACATCGGTACCCAGCACTGTACGACAACGGATTCAACACTCAGGTGTTCCTCAATGCAAGAAATTGCGAGGGGTTTCAGTTAATGCCGATATCACTTCTTTATACTATTATTTTTTTGTTGTTTGTGAATGTTTCTAAAGCTGGCAGTACCTGAACCACTTTCTCTGAAACGAACAACCACATCCCCGAATCGTCAGTACTTTGATAGAAGGCAATCTATCGTAGTTCCAAAAAGAAACCAAATCAAGAGGGCATTTTCTGCAAGTTCTAGACTTTGTAAGCAGCTATAAATTTAAGAGTAAAAAAATCAACGTTTTATTTTTTTACTTGCAACAAATTTGTATCACAAAGTAATAGAGCTTGGTTTGAGGTGGTGCTGAAGTTCTTCCTTGAACTCCTCAAGCTTAGCAGATCAACATTTTTTTTTAATTCTAAGGTTAAGGTAAAATGTTGTATTAGTTTCATATAAAACCTATACAGGCATAACTCATGTACGGTGAACAACCATGCATTAAAATTATAAAAATCATTTTGGAAATTCTACAGTGAGATGAACTCAAATAGCATTCAATCTTGGAATTCTAGTAAGAGAATTGCTTTTAGAGATTTCATTTCTGTAGTCCAAATTCCAGGTTTTTTCAGCTCTCAAAGTATTGCAGCAAGTCTCATAGAACTGTAAACAGACAAGGAATTCAGTTCTTCTACATTAGACAAAGGGCGCCAGAGCAACAGGGAACTGAATCCGGTTTTGTTTTTGGGGTTTTGATAGATTGCCTTCAATGAGGGTAGCACTGACTTGGGGATGCGGATGTTTGTTTTAGAGATGGAGTTTAGGGGTAATGTCGACTTCAAAAGTATTAAAAAGAAAAAAATAAGTTTATAGGGAAGGAAAAGAAGAACAAAAAGGATGGATTGATTATTGTGTTGGGGTTCGGAGGAGAAAATGGAAGGGAGTAAGGATGAATTCTCACATCCCAATCCTAAATAATTCAAAAGAATGAATTATTTTAGTTTCCTTTGTCTTTTTCTATCTGGTTCAACCAGATTCAGTTAATTAACGTCCAATCGCCCGTTAACGTTAGCTTGATTTCGCCCGGACAACATGGTCTCTCATTGGTGGCACGGGTTCACAGAACGCGGACTCCCTACCTCACATTACCGGCGAGCACATCACACCGGCCATCGTCCATCGGCGGCGGGAGCTCCGGCCATACGTTCTCTTGCATTCTCCTTCTCCTCCTCTTCTTCTTCCTTGTTTTCTGTTTTCAACAAATCGAATCAAGCGACCCACCTCGCGAATTGGTGTACAGAAGACAGATTTCTTTAGTTCTTGGTTATTATGGTTTAGGAAAATGTGGTTAATGTGCTCTCTGATGTGATTTTTCTAGTTTCTCTTATTAGTTTGGTAGTTCCTCCCAACCGGCTTCTTCCGGTTTGTTAGATTGATAGAGCAATCGATGTCTTCGGTAACAATAATTGATTTAGAAGTCGTCTTCATGAGAAGCTTCCGAAGCTCTGAATTGGCATTTACTTCAGTGAGCTCAAGATGATCATAGATGTCATAGCGAAGGTAATTGGCCATGGCGGCAATCATGCTCGATTTACCAGTACCAGGTGGGCCATAAAGAAGATACCCTCTCTTCCAGGCTCAACTCGTCGTCTGGTAGAACGATTGCCCATCAGCGAAGTCTCGAAGATCAGCCATTATCTCGGCCTTCTTTGCTGGGTCCATGGCCAGAGTGTCGAAAGTACTTGGGTGCTTGAACGGAACCGATTCCCATGGGTGACCCCTCGAATCAAGCGACCCACATCACGAATTGGTGTACAGAAGACGGTCCTAGTTCTTCCGACGGGTCTCGCTGGCCTTGTCCATGATGTAATCGAGATAAGAATCGAGGATCAGGGCTTTATCCTTCTTCCTAATTCGCAGTGTGAAGCCTCTCTTCTCGTCGGGTAGAGGTCGCCATGAGAAGGTCTGTGTCTGTCGCTGCGTGACGATGTGTTCCCACCAAGCGGTGACGCCATTGAAGGTATCGACGAGGCAGTCGTTATTGGATAGGCCCGAATGTAAAGGCGCTTGAATTGAGGGCCCGAGTGAGGCTGAGACGGCTGCTAGTGATCGAGGCCAAACTGCTCAAATAAAGCTGAACAGCGTTGTAGAGTTCGCTGGTGTTCACGCCAAGAACTAAAGAAATCCGCTAGTGTGTGCTCCTTTTTGGGTTCGCTCACCTTCATTCGCCTGAAGAATGATCACCGGTGTGAGCTGAGGTTCGGATTAGAAAACGTAATTAACGTCGGTGTGAGCTGAGGTTCGCGTTAGCTTCGATCTGTTGAAAATAGAAAACCAGGAAGACCTTTGTAAGAAGAAAAAGAAAAAGAAGAAGAGGAGAAGAGAAGGATGCCAGAGAACGTATCGCCGGAACTCTTGTCGCCGATGAATGATAGCCGATGTGTACTCGCCGGTGTATAGGATAGGAGGGTTCAGTGGAAAGGAGAAAATGGAGGGAGGAACCGAACTGAGAGGGTTTTAATCAGCTTTTTTGTCGTTTTGTGCGCGGTTCAACCGCACTCTCCGATTAACACTAAAGGCCCGTTAAACGTTAGCCTGTTTTTGCCTAGACGACGTGATCGTCTCTCATTGGAGGGTTAACACGATCCATTAACTCGAATTCAACATGTTTACAATTTATTCATATAATTTCATTTAAATCTATGTATTTAAGGAGTCGATGACAGTTTCATAAATTTTATTTTCAATATATTTTAGGGTAAATTTCTTAAACTATCCTTATGGTTTAGTTAATTGACCAAATGTATCCTTATTGTTTGAAAATTAATTAATACTATTCTTATTGTTTCTGACAATTGAATAACTCTTCTCTTAATGTTAATGTTTATTAACAAAAAGGCGGAAAAGACTATTTTACCCTTTATTCTTCTTCAAATTTTTAAAATAAAACAGAGGAAAAGCGAAAGAAACACCAAACTCGGTGATTTCAGCACTTACATTCTTGTCATTTTTGCACCTAAAATCCCCTTTCATAACATCAAATTCTGCTTGCTAGAGAATCTACAGTTTGTTGTCGCTGTAACGTCTAGCTCGAGTTTGGGAGTTTGAAGACCATGGTGAACAATGCTCTAAAACGCAAAAATAAATGAAGGAAGGGGTGGGAAAAAAAAGGCAGGGAAGAAAAAGGCAGAGAGGTGGCAAACCAGCGACACCCCCCTTCTCGCTCTGGCAGCAACAATGACCCCTCTTCGAACGAAAACAAAGGGGCGGCGAACCAACGGCACCCCTCTTCGAACACTGGAGAGTGAAGACACAGCGGCGAACTAGCGGCACCCCCCTTCTCACTCCGGCGGCGGCAATGACCCCTCTTCGAACGAAAACAGAGGGGGCAGCGAACCAGCAACACCCCTTCGGTTAATGGATCAGTTTCCACTAAAGATGGAAGATCTTATGTCATTAAAGAGAGGTTCAACCAAAGATCTTGGCCTGACGATCGTGGCTTCCCTCTTTGTCCCCTGTTATCCGGTGACTAGGAATTGGATGAGGTAGCCATCCACTCTGAGCTCAGCGTTGATGGTGGCTTCTTGCTCGCACGCTAATTGGGATGTGTAGCTAGGGGTGGCAATCTCCGCTCCCCTCCTCTCTCTCTCTCTCTCTTTGATCAAGATGGCGATGACCACTCTTCGAACAAAAATAGAGGGGTGGCGGTGAACCAGCGGCACCCCTTTGGCCATTCTCTCCCATTTCTCTCTCCTATTACAGTACCTTTCATCATCGACCTCTGCTCGAACCAAAAGCAGTGACGGAACTTTTCTCTCCAATCTCTGTTATTCTCTCACACTTTCTCTTCTTTTTTTTTCTTCTCCTTCTCTCCTTTGCGTCCTCTCTCATTTTACTATTTCATCATCGCCACTGCTGCTGCAACTCATTGTTATAGCGGTGGATCTGAACACAGCAAATAACCAAAGACTAACAGGAAATGAAAAGAGGTACTTTGAATTAGTACTAATTTGAGTTGATCAGTATGCAAGCATACAATAAGAGAAAGAGAGAAATAGAGGAAGAGAGCAAAAGAGAAGGGGAGAGAGACGAGAGGCAGAGGGGAAGGTTTGAGAATGGAGAGAGAGATAGAGGCGGAGGAGGAGGTCTTAGAAGAGAGAGAGAGTGGGGGCTCAGGCTATGAGGGTAATATTGGGTTTTAAAAAAAATTGTATAAGTCACGTGGGGTCACATGTGCATAGATTGTGACGAAGCATTAATCAATTGTCAGAGACAATAAGGGTAGTGTTAGTCAATTTTCA